ACACACCCACTGCCACCCCAGCCCCTCATCCTCCACTTATTTTGCAAAATCCGGGGTGGAAAACAGCGCCAAAGGGCAAGCCAAGCACAAAAAAACATGAATCGGCCACTACTCTACACACACGTTGTACACCAATTTCGGAATACATTTTTAACAAACAAAATAACACGTGGGTGTGTGCTCCTGTCTCATGCTTCCTTTCTCATTCTGTTTTGTCATAGCTAAGGCAATCTCTTACAAATTCACTTTTAAAACAAAGGCGATGCCCAAAGGACAAAGCTATGAACTGTTATCCTCAGGGAACTGTGAATCCACATACAGGGTAGCCTTCCTGATATCGTCAAGAATAGACTTGGTGATCACACCATAGCCCTCAATCTTGCTTGATAGAACAGAAGCCATGAGGGCAGCCACATGCTGTCACGGGTCACCCTCCACCATAGAAAAGGGAAAATGGACTCACCACTCACCCTGAGCCTTCCTCTAAAGGGCCTCTCACAAGCTCTGGGCTCTCTCGTGCCAACCACTTCAAGGGCTGGTAGGAAACCCCAGCACTGTGGGGAAGGAAGCACACGAAATGGGAGGCACTACTGTGGCCCTTGCAATGTAGAAGCGGGGATTGAGCTGGCAAAAAAAAACAAAAAAAAAAACAGGAAAAACCCAATGTAGGATAGCAATATAACTAGCAATAATTAGTGCAGAGTTAAAAGTTAATCTCAGCAGGGCCTAAATTCAACGTGAGCATTGCATCCAGTTCAGGAAACTTCACATGCATAGCAAAAAAAAAAGAGCTTTTGTCTGTAAAGGACTCTTGCTTTACAACGAAGATACTGAGACCCAACTACTAGCAAAAGCACGCAAGTCAGCTTCAGTGTGCATCTTGTTTTAATGTGTTAATATAGCAGGAACCCTGGTGGTGTAGTGAGTTATGTGTTGGGCTGTTGACCAAAAGGTTAGTGCTCTGAAACCACCCACCACTCTGCAGAAGAAAGATGAGGCTGTCTAAATCCTGTAATGACGTACAGTCTCAGAAACACACAGGGGCTATAGAGTCTCTATGGGTCAGAATTGACTTAACGGTAGTACGTTTGGCTAGGTATAATACCAGTTTTAATTGTTTATGAAAATGATTCCCACTTCCCTTTTGGTAAGGAGTCTTGGCGGTTTCACATTTAGCTTCCTGATCCCATGAACAGATACAGTCTTGGAAACGCACAGGGGGAAGTTCCACCCTGCCCGACAGGGTCACTGTGAGCTGGAGTAGATGCGATGGCAGTGAGTTTGGTTTGGGTTGGTCCCTTTGGGTCAATGGTATGTGCATATCTTACTCATCCTGAACCCACACACATTCAAAGAAGATGGATCTTCACAGATGAACTTCCAACTGAAACATCACAAGTCAGCTCACAAAGGACTTGATTCCAGCCGGTGCAGATTCCCACTCTCCAAGCACCCAGAGTCAGCCATTGGCTTCCTATGCCAGGATAGTTCTATGTCCTTGGAAGGAAACCGTGACCGGAAACTTCCCACTTGTACTGTGCGGTTCCCTAAGATCTGTCGACAGTTCAGTAGAGCTCACTAGGTGCGGGGAGATGTGCAGTGACTGCCCCCAGCAACTGTGAGGACCACCTCAAGATGAACCTGCACGGCGAGTCTTACATTTTTGGCTGCAAATGAAGACACCCTGATTATTGTTATTTTTCTTCTTCTTTTCTCTCCGCCGCAACACTTCCTCAGCCTTTCAATGCACTTTGCTTCAGGCAATAATAGTGTGCTTTTTATAAAGTAACCAACACAGGACTTTTAACAAGGAAGCGAAAGCCGCGTGTCAAAGGTAGGCACAATGATAACCTAGAGCATAGCTGTACTTTCACCCCCAACGATACGCGCGCGGGTTATCAGGCACACCTCTGTTTGTGCATTTCCCCGGGCCCCCACAAACGCCGAGGCTCACAGAGAGATTTCTGAAGCTCCCATCACAGGCCCTCCTCAGAACTCCCTGGTTGCTAAAGACCTCTGGGGGAAGAGTCAGGAGTACTGTCAAACATCATTCACAAGCTTACAAATCAATGTCTACTGAAAAGACATCACACTGAGGAGCCTGCCAAGAACCCCCTAGAAAGGTAGTCCTGCAAGAACATACACTTACACACGCCCCGCAAGCAGGAAAACGCATTTCGTAAGGGCAGATATCGGTAGCAGGGCTAAGTCCAATTATGCAGGTTTCTGCACAAGGAAATGGAGGCATTTGACACAAGAGCAGCCGTGAGAGGGGGAAATGAAAAAGGCAGTAGTGTTCCTGGCAAGAGTCAGATGGAAAAACAGCAGCAAATCTCAGAAGCCGAACTGGAGCAAGCACAGCTCAAACTCAAGCCGTTTTAAGGAAGCACGGGACAGGACTCAGGAAGGGTTCATGGCAATGGTTGCCCCAGGCCTCTGCACCCTCAAGTGCAGTCATGACTGTGATCTGCAAGTCAGTCAACAAACAGTCACCCAATAAAGTATTATACACGTTACAAATCCCGTCATTGTGGAGGGATAAAGACAATCTACATATGCCCGGGACTATGTAGACACTGAAGAGTTCCTTCACTCTACAACCAGCGAAGAGAAGTGTCTTCCTCGTGTTTCCCATCAGAGAACTGAGAATTCCACAGGGCCAAACAACTTCATGGACTCAGGCCCTGACCCCAATTCTGCTGACTTCAAAGCCTATGATACCACATTACCATACCATTAAGTATGGCTCTTGTCCTAAAGAGGATTAAAAAGAACTAAGCCCAGGAGAGAGCAATACAGCCAACCCAGTGATGAAGGACTAACAAACTAGTGTCTGAGGAGTGTGACGAACAGGAAAGGAAATGAGTAGCTAGAGACGATATTGTGAAAGAGGTGGCTTTCGGGGTCCCCCTGGGAGGATGGGTAGAATTTGGATAGGAGAGTGGAGCAAAGAAGAGAGTGTCTCTGGAAAGAGCTACCTGCACAGTGACGCCAGGGGCACGACGAGCCTGGCCCCTGGGCAGGAGAGAAGGAAGAGGACACTGCAGAAAGCAAAAGGCTCTAAAGGCCCAACCGAAAATTGGGTCAACCTAGGAAGAGCAAGGCCTGGTTACTGAAGGCCTTGAAAAATCAGGCCAATTATTGAGACACTAAGGTGACAGTAGGAGGAGGGATTGAAGGTCCAACGGCAAGGCCAGACAGACAAGATGATAAATAAATAATAAATAAATAATATGGGCAACAGGAAGTTGACCAGGCCAGAAGGAGTGGTCTCATTCATTCATTCATTCATTCAGCAAATATGTACTGAGGGCTTACCAGGCACCAGCCTTGGGAGGCCCCCTCAGAGGCTGCGCTAGTGCTGCACAGGGGCAAGGCAAGGCTCGGGATTAGAACAGTGGGAGAGAGTTACACACAGCACATTCCAAGGAGCGCCATGACTCACTGAGCTCAGGAAGGAAGAAAGCTAAAGTTCAGTTCCTAAGTTCCAAGAGAGCTATGGCGTCCACTCTCCCAAGGTCCTCCCACAGTAATGAGAACAAAACATACAACCAAAGTATGAAAGGGGCTTGGTCATTGATTTTCTTTAATATATAAAAAGGAAAGCCTTCCTGATGCCGGATAGTCAATAAATAAAACCCCAAGTGTCCCATTAGTTTTACGACGGTGGGTCCTTCTGCGCAGTCCTTAGGTGGTATGGAACTAAATAAATTAACTAAATTAAAAGAACAAAATACGCCATTTCTTTGCAACCCAATGCTGCGTTGCATTGGCAAGAATTCCAGGAGTGTGACTGTTCAGATCCACTCCATCCGCTCTCCAACACAGCCCTCCGCCAACTGACACAAGGCCAGCCCCATGAGATACGTGGCTGCCACCGGCCTGCCAAAGCCCAGGTTCTGACTTTGGGAAAGAGAGCAAAGCTGCGTGGAAAGAGGGACACAAAAAGTGGCAGGGCCCCCACAGGGCCAGGTGGGGACGATTTCCACCAGCCCTGGTCCTCAAGGAGGCAGGCAGACCTTCCACAAGCTATCGAATTACAGCGCTTTGTTAAGAAACTATTTCAAATGTGCATGCACAACTAACTCCTAGCCCAGCAGCATATGGTGGGGACGCTCAAACTTCTTAATAATGTATATAAATGGACTACCTAGTCAACACATGTTGACTGCCTAAGTTCAAAGCTTGTTTTCATTGTATATGCGGTGGCGGTCCAGTTCACGGCTGACTGGGGGCACCTCCAGAAGGCCCCACTCAATGGGAAAGGTGAGTAACGAATGCTGTAAAGTATTAAACTTCTGTGACTACAAAGAGAGCCGAATCTTAGCGCTTCCATCGACCCTGCGTGCAAAACTCAACAACATTCTCCCCGCAGAGCCCCGCTTTGACAAAAGCAGATGTTTCATTTAATTAGATAAGTGGACTTGAATCAATACCCTTTTGTGTAGAACGTGGCTTGAAATAACCTAAAATTAAACCTTGAATGTTAAAGTGTCACACACTTTAAAAGGAACATTACAAAAGACACGATTGTTCTGGGAAATCCTGCCACATCCCTCTCCCAGCATCTACTCAGACTGGTAAGAAGGAGATCAGAGCAGAAAGAAATGCAGTGGAAAATGGTTACGGTTGCCCATGAGCGTCAGAGGATTCTGGCTCAGACCCCTTGCGGGACAGCCAAGGGCCTAGTCAGGAAATTCCAAGAACAACTCCTTAACAGCCCCCGAAAAGGGTTTCACATCAGCCAAACATCTTCCGCCTCTCCTAAGGCCAAACGGTAATCACCCACCGACCTCCCAGACTCCCAGACACGGGAGTTTTCCGGCTCGGAGGGAGAAATCCACATGACCACGAAAAGAAGAAACTACAGCCCATTAGCCTCTTCCTCCCATCCGGTCCCTTGTGGGGCCACCAAACTAGAGTCCCCCGGTAGCCGCAGTCCATCACGCCGAGTGACAGGTCGCCGGGGAGAAGCCCCTAAATCCTTGATCCCCACTTACTGTGGCCGCGAACGCAGGCTGGGGCCCGCCCCTGCGGTGAGCGCGGCTTCTGGGCCAGCGGGGCGCAGCAGCCCGCTTGGGAACTGGAAACGGGGGCGATCCCCGCTAGGAGGGGCCGAGGGGTCCTTGCAGGGACGCCCGGAAGGTCCGGCGAGTCGCTCGGGCCGCGCGGCGCATGGCAGTGCAGCGGGAGCTGGGTTGCTTTCCAGCCTCCGGCAGGAAAACAAACAAAAGACAAGGTGGCTTCTGGTAGGGACGCCCGGCCGCTCTCCCTGGGAAAAGTTACCCTGCAGCTCCCCTCGCTGGCCCTGCGCGTCCCTGCACCGCGGCCAGGCGGCCCAAGGGGCGCGGAGATGCTCGAGCGCTGTCGCCCAGGGGCGAGGCGAGGTGGAGCCCAGATCCCTGCAAGGATCGGGCTCACCACTCCTAAAGGTCTACTTGCATGGTCGGCCGTTCCACGCAGAGGACTTTAGAAACGGATTCATGCTCTGAGAGCATTTTTAACCCATCGTAAAATCCTTTTCCTGATGTCTATTCGTTTGAATTTGAAGAGCTTTTTATATTGTTAAGCGGCTTTAGATGAGAAGACTAGATAGTTAACTGACCAGAGAGCTAGACAGATGTCTTTCTGTGTGTATTCGGTTATATGAACATCAGATAGTTTTAAACATATTTACTTATGTTCGTACGTGCTGTTGGAAACAGGACTTGAAAACCACCCAAATAATGCCTGGCCTCAAAACTTTGAAGAACCTGTTTAAATTTTACCCGGTGGTTCTGAACATGCTCATAGCAAAGCAGCCCTTTCACTCATTTGGATCCATCTTTCAGTTAAATCTCCCAACTACCACCATATCAATTTTTCAATTTTTTGCTCACT